TTGTATATGTTTTGTGTTTATGTATTTTGTTGGTAATTTTTTCGCTTTTTGTACTTTATGTTATTTAGTTTTACGCATTCAAAACAGAATCTATACTGTATGTTTTACATTGTGTAATGACCCTATCATCTGGTAATTACAGCATTGATAATGAAGGACTGTTGAAGCCTTCGAAACGTCTGCTCATTCTTCACGGCAGCATTTATCCAGCTCTTCTTACGATTCGTCGCCTCAATGGAAAACCTATTACGGTATATATATATATATATATATATATATATATATATATATATATATATATATATATATATATACATATGGGCACTCGGCATTTATGGAAAAAGCAGGGCAAATCCCAAAGCGAAGGATGGAATAATGCACTACCGCAGTTTAATCATGAATATTTATGACCTCTCCAATCGGGATTCGATCCACACACACACACACACACACACACACACAACACACACACACACACACACACACACACACACACATATATATATATATATATATATATATATATATATATATATATATATATATATATATAGAAATAATGAAGATAATGATAATCAAATATATATATATTATATAAATAATAATAATGAAAATAATATAACACACACACACACACACACACACACACACACACACACACACACACACACACACACACACACACACACACACACGATACTCTCAAGGCTGGATGGTTACCACTCAGCACCTCTTTACCCGGTATCAGCCTTCCTCCTTCAGTAGATGCAGGTGTTAACTCTACTTTCACATTTGACACATGTTGTGTAAACAAGCATACTTCCTCACAAGAAATAGCTGCATAAAATGACGTATCATATAGCAGAACATACAGAGAGAGAGAGACAGCAACAGAGACAATAGACAGACAATAATCTCACTCATCACTGCTCCTGGGCACCTGGAGTACATGTCTCTGGTAGAGTTTCACATTCTCCTTCCCCAATAAACCTTCCAGCAAAGACCCCTTTCATTCCCCTGCAATAAGAACTTTCATATCCAGCTCTTTCTCCATAAAAAGGAATAAAAGTATCACATATATATTTCTAAGAAAAAGGAATAATTCAAAAGCATCATCGTGAAAATGATTACATATTTCAATACTGCCACACCTAAATATGATATAAATCATAATGTTAATGATAACACTGAAAGTAAAGATACTTTAATTACAATATCAATGATCATAAAATTAAAAACTAGAATGAAATGGCATTTTTTTGTTTATTATGACAATTGGGATTTCGGAGGCATTGTTTGGATTACCAGGTTTATTCTTGAGTCTTGAATACGAATATCATGATCATTAGCATTAGTTAGGTCTTGATAATATGGGAGGGCATGAACTATATTAGGGACCTTACGGGGTAAAACAAGCATAAATAAGAATAATACCGAACGAAAATGCGCAAAGCCAGCCCAAAAACAACGCTTAAAATATGCGAATAAAATTCTACGGACGTTCTCGCCCTCTTTGACCGGCGCGTCAACATTCAAAAACCTCCAAGACATACTTGCCCACGCCTGTGCAGTTAGCCAGGGTGATAAATAAAGGACTAAACTAAACTCCAAGACATCTTTCGATAAAATTCACACCTTCCAAACCCCCAGTGGTAATCATACAATACGTCCTAACCAATAAACCAGCCTAACCACGTCACAAACTTTATTCAACAATATAAGTTGCAATGACTAGGCATGCCATTCGAGGAGGGTTTGTAGAGGTGTTATGGCCCTTCGTTGGCCCCACGCGACCTATCTCGGCCCAGGGCATCTCCGTGCACGGCTTCGAATGCTGACAGTGCAGCTAAGGACGCGAATTACCAGACGACCGGGTGACCTGTTCGCTAGTTCGGATGACACCAAGAACCATGGCAGTAGCAGTCGGCATGTACGAACCAGCAGTTGCCTCGAGCGGCAATGGGGTATGCAAAGGAACTGTGTGGCCGCCGCCAGGCCGCCGAGGTGACCCCCAAGGTTGCTGGACCCGGGCAGGGAGAGACACCGCCTTGCCCGGAGACCGTTGGAGACAGATCAACCGAGGATTATCAGGTCATGTATCCCAGTGTTACGAAAGAAGAGTTCCGTTTGCCTTAACGAAAGCGAGAGCTAGTCCGCGTTAGTGATTTTAAAGTGAAGTGAGAACAATTAAGTGACATCAGAGTATCAGAAGATAACGCGAGTTGAGTATTATACGTATTTGTATGTATGTTTGTGATTAGTAATAAGTTTTCATTATTTAGTTGTATCGTGAGTGTATTCGTTCGTTCCGTGTATTGTAATTCGGCTGTGTATATTTCGTCTATATATTTTAGTCGTGTCGTGAATGTATGTTATTAGTTTGTGTATTTCGTATGTATGTCTGTATCCATCAATGTGTAGATGTTTCTTTTTATTCGTCGTAAATATAACAAATATAACATTTTATTTATCTTTCTTTCAAAACCGAACATATACTGACATGTGACAAATAGTATGATTAGAATTATAATGAACATAAGTATATAATAAGTAATAAAGAGAAGAAAAGAAGTTGATTGAATAAATAACAGACTAAGATCACTTCATTAATAAATAGAAAATAACATTGAACAAAGCCTCCAAGCAAATAGCTCGGTCATATCACCACCAGTAATATTGTAAAAAGTCTAAGGGTCGGGACCCCTATTCCCGTGGTGGCGGCTACCTCCGTTTGTGTGTATATGTAAGTATACACTACAGGTTGATGGAGCGGGGGAGGGGGCCAACAACCCCCGGCAAACATTCTCTTCATATTGGAATGCACGATAAGATAGGGCTGCGTCCATACCGTAAAAATTAAACCACATACCTTTACCAATCTTTCCTTTGCTTCTGTCGACTGTCTGGTTTCTAATCACTTTTATTTCGTACACTTGATAGGCTCACATTTCAAGCTGTGGTTGTTACTTATGTCGATTTTTTCTGTATTTACACTAAATTGTTTGAGAAGTAACCCGGGATCGACGCAATACTGAAAGCAAAACGATTGTCAGGGAATGGCTTTTCGGCTGCCATACATCGCGGTGGCACAAAGGTGCGCTCGCAGGTTTTTATACATTAGTAACATTAATTAAAAAAAAAGAAAAAAAACATACGTTGAAGAATTTTATTGAAAATTAAATTATAAACAAATAAATTTATCAGTCGTTGAAAAAAAAAATCGTTTTCACAAACGCTTTGTAATACATAAACTACTTAACAGATCGCAGTGATAACTTATGAGATAAGTCATGCTTTTCTTTGGGAGATCAATATGGCGGGGTACTCAAAAAAAAGAGTCGATCTTCTCTCTTCTCTATCATAAACCTCCTTTATTTTTTATTTGTGCACCTTTTGGCATGGATGAAAAGTGTCTAAATTTACATTAAAGTAACCATACCGTATACTTCTTTCTTTCTTTTTATTTTTTTCCGAAAAAAAACATAATGATGATAAAAAAAAGTATTTATAATAGTAAATAAAAAAATATTTATAATAGTGATAATAATATTGATAATAACTAATAATTAATAGTAGCAACAAAAATAATTTGAATAATAATAATTACAACAAAAATAATTTGAATAATAATAATTGCAACATAAATAAAGATTGATAATAATAATGATGATAATGATCATCTATTGATATTTTTATTAATGATAATGATATAATGAGTAGTAGTGACAATAATCATGATATTAATAGTAATAATATTAATAACAACGAAAACAACAAGACCAACAGCAGCAAAAATAACTATAAATACAACAAAAATGATAAAAGATAGTAAGAATAATGATGATAATGATAACATTAGTAACAATAACATTGACGATAAAAGTAATAACAATAATGTGAATAATATCAATGATGATAAAAATGATGAGGATGAGGATGAGGATGATAAAAAAAAAACAATATTGACAAAACCAAAAGCAATGATAATAATGATGATGATGATAATGATAATGATAATAATAACAAAAAACAACAAAACAACAACAATAATAATGAAACTAATAATTATTATTACAACAACGACAATAACTTTGATAATAATAAACAATAATGGTCATGGAAATACTGATAACTATAATGACAAAGATTGTTATAATGATAATAATAATGATAATGCAAATAATAATGAATATAGCACTAATATGATAATAAGAATAGTTATGGTGATAATGATATTAATGAATGATTAATAACAAAAAAGAAGAAATAAAAAATAATATTATTAATGGTAATAACAATAATGATTATGATTAAGTTGGGCTAAGACACCACTGGTAAAAAAAATCATAAAATTATGTTCATGATATTTTAGTTTTTCTGATAACCAACTAACCAATGAAGAAACATAATCCAACGCTATCAAAATCGCAAAGGAGCAAGTTTTAACACACACATGCAGATGTATGCTTGCGTGCTTTTATTAGATATTACATGTACTTGTGAACTATTCATTATATTATTACATTATATAATTGTTGAAAGTTTCTAATTTTCAAAGATTGAAGATCATTTGAAACATGTAACTTTATGGAATAATATGCTCAAGGAACACAAACACAAATCCAAATAGTACAAGCAAAACTTGGGATCAGATAACACACACACACACACACACACACACACACACACACACACACACACACATATATATAGGTCCATATAACTGTGTGTATATGTATGTGCATACGTGCTTGTTTAAATGCGAATTATTTAGGAGCCTATCAAAGTGATTTTTTTAACATTGCATTCCTACTAAATGTAATACTAATAGATATATGAACGATTTGTTTCTTTCAAAGAATTTCATACGTATTCTTACAACAATCATATCCAAGTTTTCATATTAACGCATTCGCGTTTAATTGTTACGCAATTGTTGAGGAACACTTTGCTGAGTTTAGGATTTTCGGCCCCCCCTTTCTGTTTGGGGTAAAAGGCAG